AAAACCTAAAATGCAATAAAATAAATAAATGGGAACAAAAAATTGGGTTTTAATTCCATCCTGGTTCTGTTATTTAGATGATTGGACTCCCAGCAAGTCACTTACACTCTCTAAATCTTGGTTCTCACACATAAACTACAGAACCACCTGCAGACCTCAGAATGTGACGGGGATAAAACAGAGTGGTGAATAACATCAGTTTTTAAAGATGCATCCACCAATGAAGCATTATTTCACTAATGGCTGGAAGACCACACCTTGGGTGTCCCGTACAGAACTTTTCAAGTATGAGATAACTTTTCAAGTTATTCAATTAACTATGTAACATGCATATGTTCTTACTTCCAAAAAGTCACATAGTAACATATCACTCTTACGCTGCACATAACACACACACAAATATAAAACCATTGAAGTGATTTGTATTATCCATGATCATGTATATGTAAATATCAGTATTTCACCCAGGCTGGAGTGCAGTGGCACGATCTTGGCTCACCGCAGCCTCTGCCTCCTGAGTTGAAGTGATTCTCCTGCCTCAGTCTCCAGAGTCACTAGGATTACAGGCACCCACCACCACACCCAGCTAATTTTTTAGTAGAAACAGGGTTTCATCATGTTGGCCAGGTTGGTCTTGAACTCCTAACCTCAAGTGATACGCCCACCTCAGCCTCCCAAAGTGCTGGGATTACAGGCATGAGCCATCATGCCCACCCAGTATTTCACATTTAATTTGATTTATTCTAGATGTAAGTTGAAACAAACTTTATGTCACCAGAAATGGCCTAAAGAAAAGCACAAGGAAATGGCATTGACTCTAAAGGCAAAGACAGAAGAGACAAGGTGGGAAGGAAAATCAGCCAGTAATGAAATGGGTGCTGTGTCCAGGGCCAGGGTCCTCACTTATGTGACTCACTCTAATTGAGGAAATGACAACTTAGCCAAAAACAATGGAGAACAAAATAAGGCAATAAAACCAATCAGCCTGGGGCAGACTGTGTGGTCTATGGATAAGGACTCTCAAGAGAGGTTTCCCGAAGGAAAAGAGCATTAGTAGTAGGGCTATCAGGAAAAGCTTCATGGAGGCGGGGCACCAAAGGGGACTATGAGGGATGAAGAGAGTTTGAATGCTTGGAAGGGACAGGCCAAGTAAAAACACACAGCAGGAATAAAGAGAGTAGCTTGAATAACATGGAGATTCGTACTGGAGCAAAAGAGCTCACTATTCACTGCTGCTGAGCCCTCAGGGAGAGCTGGTGAGGCTGCCAAGAGCCAGAGGAGAGGAGAATGCACTCAGAAGCCATGTAGCTGAGAACCTGGGCAGTGCCGACAGTCTGCGGCCATTCATTGCAGGTGTGCGGCATCCTGTGTAAGGCAGGTGGCGAGACAGTGCGTAGTAGGGTCAGGGAGGCACTTTGCCCTGGTCTGCTCTGCCCACCTTCCACTCTCGAATCTTCCTTCCGCCCTTCCCAACACGCTCCACATTTATTCTGCACCAACCATGTGAGGAGCTGGGCACTGCAGAAAAAGAGCAGCAGTCTCCCTGGGGAGTTAGATACAAAAATAGGGAAGACAGAAACAGCTAACCACCAAATAAGCAACACTGACATTACCACCAAGAGAAGGAGCGATGGTAGAGGAGGAAGGGCCGAGGCTGGTTCGGGAAGGTTCCTCAGAGAAAATGGTGCCTGGCCAAGCCTTGAGGGAAAAATTAAGATTCACAAAGCTGGGAGCAAAAAAGGGGTATGACAGAGAGGTGTTAATCAAGACAAGAAGGTACGAATGCACAACTGCCATTTGCAGTGAGTAATGAGCTAACTGGTCTGATGCTGCGGAAGGTTCATGTAGACAGCCAACGGGAGAGTCGGTACAGAAAGCGAGTGAAACTGAATTCTGCAGAATCTCAATCCCAGGCACCTGATTCTCCTGACCAAGGTTTCTAACTTTGTGGTCCAATGATGGGCTTCAAGATTTGGCCATGAACACTCAGTAAGAAAATTGTGAATATTTTCTCATATAGGCATTTCAGTCTGGGGAGAGGTTAAGTGGCTTTCAGAATCTCAAAAGCGTTTATGACCTAAAGAGTTGAAAACTACCAGTGCAGCAATTGGCAGAGTGGTCAATGTGGGGAAGGGAGAAGAGGTTGGGATTATATAAGTCGAGCCCATTCCCCTCCCCTGAGACGGGCTTTCTTAACTATACACCAGACAGTCATTAACAAACAGATGCCATTCCTCTCTCTAGTGGCTTCTTGTTCAATAAGTACTTGACAGAGTTATTGGTAGATTACAAAAATAGCTCATTGCAGTCAGGTGCAGTGGCTCATGCCTATAATTGCAGCACTTTGGGAGGTTGAGGAGGGCAGATCACAAGGTCAAGAGATTGAGACCATCCTGGCCAACATGATGAAACGTCGTCTCTACTAAAAATGCAAAAATTAGCCGGGCATGATGGTGCGAGCCTATAATCCCAGCTACTCAAGAGGCTGAGGTAGAACTGCTTGAACCTGGGAAGCGGAGTTTGTAGTGAGCCAAGATCAGGCCACTTACTCCAACCTGGGCGGCAGAGCAAGACTCCGTCTCGGAGAAGAAAAAAAAAGTTCATCGGGGAAAGTAGAAAGAAAACCAGCACAGGGGTGAGCAGACAAGAGAACTCAGGAAAAGGGATAGTCTATAAGAAGATTCGATAAATTAAAATGCCAGAGAAGCCAAAGAATAAAAAGTCCTGAGAAAGATGAAGTGGTTACAGGTGTCAAGCACAACTAAGGGATGAGGGGAAAAAAGTCTTAAAATTCAATGACCCTCATGCATGGTTTCTGTAGGGTGATAGGAGGCCAGAGGCTCGGGATAAGGGGTTCAAACCAAGACACTTGGAGAGCAAAAGGAAGTGCCATTGATGATTATGGTGAATGACAGGTATAAACCAGGACTGTCCTGGGAGAACAGATAAACAGTTGCCTTGTTGAGGAGGAAATCAGTAGTAAAGACAGGAAGGCAGCAGACACTGTCTGTAAACTCAAAGGGTTTAGCTGCAAAAAGAAAACTAGGACATTAGTCAGAAAAGCCAGTAGGGAAAACAAAAGGCTTTACCACATATTGATTTGGGAGGCAGGAGGACTTCTGGAGGTTTTGAAGGGGGCTGGGTGCGGTGGCTCATGCCCGTAATCCCAGCAATTTGGGAGGCCGAGGTGGGCAGATCACTTGAGCTCAGGAGTTTGAGACCAGGCTGGAAAACATGGCAAAAACCCTTCTCTACAAAAAAAAATTTTTTAATTAGCTGGGTGTGGTGGTGTGCACCAGTAGCCCCAGCTGCTCAGAGTGAGACCAAGGTGGGAGAATTGCTTGAGCCCAGGAAGTTGAGTCTGCAGTGAGCCATGGTCGTACCACTGCACTCCAGCCTGGGCAACAGAGTAAGACCCTATCTCAAAAAAAAAAAAAAAAAAAAAAAAAAAGGAAAAGGGAAGGGGAAAGGGCTGACAGCATTGCACATTCTCCATCCCACAGAACATCATGAGGCACGGCAGCTCCTCCAAAGCTTCTGCATGGATGCTGTGGCACTCTGGTTCCTTGGGAAACAGGAAAGGATGGAATAAACAGGAGTGAGGAGAGACATTTCCTCCTTTGAAACTGCAAGGAAAAAAAAAAAACAATTTCTGAAAAGAAAAGGCAAAATGCAACATTTTATCTCAACCTAGGGAGCATGAGATCTGGCTGTGAGGAAAGGATACATTTTCAAGTTAGCTTTCACTATGGCTTTCTCTTCCCTTTTCAAGGGAGAAGATATTAAGAAGAAAATAAAGTGAACTCTCAGGTGTTCATTAAAGTTAAATCCTGGCTGGACATGGTGGCTCACGACTGCAATCTCAGCACTTTGGGAGACCAAGGTGGGCAGATCACTTGAGGAGTTCAAGACCAGCCTGGCCAATATGGCAAAACCCCGTCTCTACTAAAAATATAAAAATTAGCCAGGCATGGTGGCTTGTGCCTGTAATCCCAGCTACTTGCGAGACTGAGGCAGGAAAATTGCTTGAACCCAGGAAGTGGAGGTTGCAGTAAGCTAAGATCACGCCACTGCACTCCAGCCTGGGCGACAGATTGAGATTCCATCTAAAAAAAACCCAAAAAGTTAAATCCTGTGCAGACTGGCAGAACTAGAATAAGGAAATATATCCTTATTTCATTTTGTCCAGTGCTGAGCATTTATTTGTAATTTCATTTCAGGCAGGGCGCAGTGGCTCATGCCTGTTATCCCAGCACTTGGGGAGGCCAAGGTAAGAGGATCGCTTCAGCCCAGGAGTTTGAGACCAGCCTGGGTAACAGTGAAACTTTGTGTCTACAAAAAATAAAAAGACTGAAAATAATTAGCTGGGCATGGTGGCACACAGTCCAGCTACGTGGGAGGCTAGTCCCAGCTCCTTGGGAGCTGAGGCAGGAGGATCACTTTTGAGTCCAGGAGGTCAAGGCTGCAGTGAGCTGTGATCGTGCCACTGTACTCCAGCCTGGGTGACAGAGCAAGACTTTTGTCTCAAAATTGTCTCAAAAAGAAAAAAAATGTAGAAATGTTTCCTTTCAGTACAGCTCAGGGAACATAGAAAGGTCAGGGGAACAGTCACCGACCTAAGGTTCAACTGGGTAAGAAAACACTGGCTAGCGTGGGGACACTAAGATGAGACCACATCCACAGTGCAACTGGAAAGAAAACTCCGAGGCCAATGCCAGACAAGAGGTTCAATAAGAAAACAGGCGGCTCTCAACTTACAACCGGGCGATTCATCCACACGGAGCACAGTCTTCCACAATGGGAAAGGGCATGCTTTTCACAGAACAGATGGAAACGAAGCCACCCCAGCGCCTCAGGTGAAGGAGCATGTGACCCAGCAATGCTGTGGGGTCGCGTGAGCTCACCCGGGAGCACTCAGGATTGGGAAACACTATGGCACTGATAACGTTCTGAATCTCAGCCCTCACGATATATAGATTTCAATAACGAAATGGAGATTTATTATGAAAGTCAGTTTATTGTCCTTTTCTGTGTTTCGTATTTTCCCTTTTTGTCAGTAAATAAGCAATACACTGATTGGAAATCTGCATGATTAAATAACATCAACAAGTTCATAAACACACCCCATATCAGAGTATAAAGCAAGAGGTTGAAAAATATTCCCTAACCCAATGCAAATTAGGAATCCCTCAAAATTGCACATTCTCCTCCTAGCTTGCTTATATAATTAAAAAAAAAATATATATATATATATATATATATGTATACAGAAGGATCTTAAAATATTGATCACTAGTACAGAATTCACAGCCCTGAAGATATATATATTTTTCTAAAGAATGAATACCCCGCAGGTCCTGGTAATCCATTAATGTGATTCAATGTCACAGATAGTCCTCAGCTTCTGATGTTTGGACTTTACAGTGGTGCGAAATGGTTGCAATTTCAACATAATGTACAGTAGTCAATAAATGACATGATATATTCAACACTTGATTATAAAATAGAGTTTGTGTTAGATGATTCTGCCCAACTGTAGGCTGATCTAAGTGTTCTGAGTATATAGGGTAGGTGAGGCAAGCTATGACGTCCAGTAGATCAGGTGTACGAAATACATTTGACTTCCGATGGGTTTACTGGGACATAACCCCATCATAGGGCAAAGCGCATCTGTACTTGACACTTACTAGAACAAAAGGTCTTTCCCTTTTCTCTAATTCTAGTCTTCTGCTGAGGTAACTCCATAAACCCGGCTGTGCCAGAGATCAATCCTCTAAAAATAGACTAAGCAGATTAGCATCCTAGAGGATCCTAAGGTTCCCAGACAACAAATCTGGGGCTGAGTGCTTGAGTTGCGAGTTACACATCGGAATGTTCAAGATAACTGATGTCCTTGAAAGGAAGACTAAATACTTCCAGGAGTCCAAGCTCATTTGAATGAAGATGGAGGAGAACAAGTTGACAATAATTTGAAGATATTTGTGCTTCTGGGCTGAATGGCTTTGAGATCAGACAGAGTGGCTGAGCCAGTCAGGAGGCATGTGGTGTGAGCTTTCCCACCACGGTGAACAGAGGGATTCTTTGTCCAAGGCAGGCTTGCAGCTCAGTCCAGCTTGAGCATTTTATCAGGATTTGATGCTTGAAAGATCAGCCACTCTACGTAAACTTCATTACCAAAGTGAAATGCAATGATCTCTTCCATTTGTGGAACAAATCACCAATACAAACCACGCGTGGCTTTCCCTCCTGTTCACTCAATTTTCCAGGCTAGAGAAAGTCCAAGTCCAAAACAACAGTTAAGGCTAAACCTCAACGTGCCAAACAAAGACGATGGCAGAGTCAGAGGTCATTCTGCACATTCATGAAACAACAACAAAAATCGTCAACAGTAATTCCTGTAGTGTAAAAAACTAGCGCAGCCTTCACGGCTGGTCAGATCTCAGGTGGCTGGCAGTGTTGAGACGGTCTGACAGTCCAAGGTCATGCTGGAGCTCCTGGACAAACCCCGAATAGGGCAGATTCGAAGCCCTAATGGTCCTCATGTGGCTGACATTGTTCTGTCTCTCGGGCACCAGTCACTCCCTCAATATGTGAGCTTGTCTCCTTCGCATGAGAGAGAATATTTCCTTCACTATTAACGGCGAGATAAACACAATTGTACAACTTGTCTGTGAAGAGAAAATTGTATTAAATATACAGCAACAGTTTAATTATTTGTTAGAGCGTCATGTTTTGAACATAATAATAGATTTGGACAATTACATTCATTTTGACTTCATACAAAGATAACGTTTAATCTTCAATGAATTAGAAAATGATTTTGAAAATTAGGGCTAATAGTACAAAACACTTAACATCACATTTCAGTTGCCAAAAAAAGAATGAAGTACACAAATAATTTGCCACAGGCAGAGCAGAGAATTGAGACCAGAGGCACAGATTAACAACAATGATCCTTATCATAGATCAAGTTTCTCTCTACCACAATTCCTAGTACGATCACACCAGAAAGCTCATCAGAAGATCCTTCCCTCTACTTAGCATGGATGTCAGAAATGGAACACAAGTTATATGGCCCAGTCTTTGGAAGCTAGATGGGAATTAGATGAAAGCTCCGAGGAATTCCTGGAGTTGGACTATCCCAGGGCTCCTTGAACAAGGCAAGAGGACAGCTGCCTGGAGCAGGGGTGGCAGAGGCTGCCTTCAATTACACCGCCCTGGACTGGAGGACATGATACTGAGTGCATCCTGGTACATTCCAGACTCTCTCAGGTAGTCGTCCTGTCTTGAGCACTGTCCCATCAATAACGTGCCTGCGTATGTCACAGCTCATAACAGAGAGCAACTTGTCTTTTTTTTTTTTTTTGAAACAGAGTCTGGCTGAAGTGCAGTGGCACCATCTCGGCTCACTGCAACCTCCACCTCCCGGGTTCAAGTGATTCTCCTGCCTGTCTCCTGAGTAGCTGGAACTACAGGCACGTGCCAGCATGCCCAGCTAATTTCTGTATTTTTAGAAGAGATGGGGCTTCACCATATTGGTCAGAATGGTCTCGATCTCTTGACCTCGTGATCTGCCCGCCCTGGCCTCCCAAAGTGCTGGGATTACAGGTGTGAGCCAATGCGCCCGGCCTCGAGAGCAACATTTTAAAAGCACAAAGCCTCAGGAGTTTAAGACCAGCCTAGGCAACATGGCGAAACCCCCTCTACAAAAAATTCAAGAAGTTAGCAAGGCGTGGTGGCACACACCTGTAGTCCCAGCTAATCAGGAGGCTGAGGTGGGAGGACCACCTGATCCCAGGAGGTCAAGGCTGTAGTGAGCTGTGATTGTGCCACTGAACTTCAGCCTGGATGACAGAATGAGACCCTGTCTCAAAATAAATAAATAAATAAAAACAAGGCCTTATTCTGTATTGGCTATTTCCAAGAAAGTACTGAATCCCAGCCAAGAATGTCTAGGGCATAATAAATATTTCCTCAAGAAACTACCACTATTTTAGAACCAAGATACGTAACAGTGTTAATTACAGCAATGCTTCTGTTTTAACTCTGTGTTGCTTAGTGTACATTGTAATTTGCTTCAGAATTTCCAAATTATATTCTGCAGATAGAGGGTAGCCTGGAAGAGTACACTGATTTGGGGCTGTTGATTCTTTAAATAAGTCTCTTATTGTTGTTTTTCTGAAATAATAAATGGCAATATTCATTAGACAGAGGTCAAGAGCAAACTGAGAGCCTTTTTCTTTCTTAAAAAGAAGACTGTGAGGCCAGGTGTGGTGGCTCACACTGTAATCCCAGCACTTTGGGAGGACGAGGCGGGTGGATCACCTGAGGTCAGGAGTTCAAAACCAGCCTGGCCAATATGGTAAAACCCCATCTCTACTAAACATACAAAAATTAGCCAGGAGTGGTGGCAGGTGACTGGAATCCCAGCAGCTCAGGAGGCTGAGGTGGAAGAATCACTTGAACCTGGTAGGCGGAGGCTGCAATGAGCCGAGATCACACCACCGCACTCCAGCCTGCGTGACAGAGCAAGACTCTGTCTCAAAAAAAAAAAAAAAAAAAAGAACAATGTGTCTTTTAGATTAATAAAATGTTACTTTTCATAAAGGGGCCTTTTAAAGCAATCAGCAGTTTTGCTGGTTTCAAGAAATGACTTAAGTAAATGCTTTCAACTTAATAAGAAAAATGACTTTTTTTTTTTTAAAGGGCACACACTTACCATGAGAATGAAAAAGTAGAAAACCCACATCCATCCTAGCTTGTCCCGGATCAGAGACACTAAATACTAAAAGGGAGAAAAAAATACAATATAATTCTTTATAAAGTAGATTAAACACGGCTATTTTAGAAAATAAGAAGGGAGCAGGGTTTGTATGTTTTGAAGTTTACCAAGCTCTTCCACATACATGTACCTGCTGTGATTAATGGCCTCATTTTGTAAGCATGCAGAGTCCAAATGGAAAAACTGTATGACAGAAGTTGTCAGTTCAGGTTTATTTTTATTCACTTTGCTATTTAGAGAGGAAGATGAACATCCGAAAGCCACTCCCATTTAATCATTCTTTCTTCCAATGAAAGGTACTATAATTGATGCTTCCAAAACCATTTGTCCTTAAGTATGCCACTCATTTTCCAATTACGCCGTTTGCTTATAGTACTGCTACACTACCTTCACATTCTGCAGCATATTCTTTTACTTTTCTTTCAATTATTGAAAAGGATCTAATTGCACTTATTTAACCCATTTTCTTTTTTTATCTTATTATGGTTAAGATATAACTGACATAAAATTTGCCATTTTAACCATGTTTAAGTGTACAATCCATTGGTGTCAGTTACACTCATACAACCATCACCACCATCTATTTCCAAACTTTTTCATCATCCAAACAGAAACTCTGTACCTATTAAGCAATTAACTGCCCAACTCCCCAGCCCCTGGTAACCTCATCTTTCTGGTTCTATGGATTGGCCTATTGTAGATATTTTGTGTAAATGGAATAACAGTATTTGTCCTTTTATGTCTGGTTTGTTTCACTTAGCATAATGCTTTCGAGGTAGACTGCATTAGAACTTCAGTCCTTTTTTTTTTTTTTTTTTTGGAGATGGAGTCTTGCTCTGTCGCCCAGGCTAGAGTGCAGTGGGGCAATCTCCACTCACTGCAACCTCCATATCCCAGGTTCCAGCGATTCTCCTGCCTCAGCCTCCCAAGTAGCTGGGATTACAGGCTCGATCCACCATCCCTGGCTAATTTTTGTATTTTTAGTAGAGACAGAGTTTCACCATGTTGGCCAGGCTGGTCTCAAACTCCTGACCTCACGATCCACCCGCCTTGGCTTCCCAAAGTGCTAGGATAACAGGTATGAGCCACTGCACCTGGCCCTTCATTCTTTTTTCTTTTCTTTCCTCCCCTACTCCTCAGCTCCAACTTCATTCTCTTCACGTGGATACCAGTTATCCCAATATTACTTACTGAGAGACCATCCTTTCCCCATTGAATGGTCCTGGTACCTTTGTCAAAAATCAGTTTGGTCACAGACACAAAAGGGCAACCCATATTATTTGATCACATTATTACTGAAATGTACATATGAAAAAAATTAATGCAGAACAACTGTGTGATTTATATTAGATCACATCATGTGAAGCAAAAAAGCAGAGATCTAATCATCCATTAAAGGAAGCACAGGGGTGCTCCAAACTCGGACTGCAACTTTGCCTTTTTTTTTTTTTTTTTTTTTTTTTTTGAGACAGAGTCTCGGCCAAGCAAAGTGGCTTATTCCTATAATCCTAGCACTTTGGAAATCTGAGGCAGGAGGATCACTTCATTCCAAGAGTTTAAGACCAGTCTGGGCAATGTGGTGAAACCCCATCTCTAAAAAAAATACAAAACTTAGCTGGGTGTGGTGGTGCATACCTGCAGTCCTAGCTATTTGGGAGGCTGAGGTGGGAAAATCGCTTGAGCCCCAGAAGGCAGAGGTTGCAGTGAACCAAGATTGTGCCACTGCACTCCAGCCTGGGTGACAGAGCCAGACCCTGCCGCAAAAACAACTAAAAATAGAGAGACAGGGTCTGAGTCTGTCACCCAGGCTGGAATGGAGTGGTGTGATCATGGCTCACTGCAGCCTTGACTTCCCAGGCTCAAGCAATCCTCCCGTCTCAGCCTCCCAAGTAGTTGGGACAGGCACACATCACGATGCCCGGCTAATTTTTTATTTTTTTGTAGAGATGAGGGTCTCACTATGTTGCTCAGGCTGGTCTTGAACTCCTGGCCTCAGCAATCCTCCTGCCTTGGCCTCCCAAAGTGCTGGGATTACAGGCATGAGCCACCACACCCAGCCTCATGCACAAGTTTTAATGTGGACATTTGTTCTCATTTCTCTTGGGCAGATACTGCAATTGAATCTTACTGAACCCCCAGTATGTGTCAAAAAAAAGCACTAAGCATTGGAAACACAAAAATGAAGGCAGCAAGCAGAGCACTTGCCATGGTGTATCACCTTTACACCAAGACAGGTGCCTACCAGAGGACCACATCAACCGCCATGGCAACCTGAAGGAGAAACAATTCTTTACTTGGGAAGTCAGGGAAAGATGGGGGCAACAAAGTTATTCAGGGTAAGTTGGTATACTGGCTAAGAAAAGGACTGACAGTGTTTAACACTAAGTCACAGAGTTTGGGATGGGAAATCATTCAAAACTCACCATGGAAGAGGAATGAGTAAAGCTAACAATGATCTACTCGGGACATGCTTCCCCAACCACGAAGGTCAGTCTAGGACCCGAGTTCACAGTGAGGGATCTAGGTACTGGCAGGTGAGGCGCTCTAAATAAAAGCAAACTTCCTGAAATACTCATTATTATCCACCCATTTAGTTTGTGAAGAAAACATTCGTAAAGAAAGATAACTTCAAATAATATAATGTTGAAAAAGGGTGCCTAATGCAGTCACTCTCTACCCCATAGATGAAGCTGTCGGGACTGATGGCTAGGAGCATTTTTTGATTCCCACACCAGAGCATGATCAGGTAAGCACATTTCTCAAGCCTTTGCTAAGGTTTTTGTTTGTTTGGGTTTTTTGCCCTTTAGTCTTACAGTAAAATATACTAAGCCTATCAGTCATTCATTCTACAATCATTCCACAAGTAATGTCTACTGTGTGCCAGGCACTGCACTAGGTACAACGGCCATGGAAGAACATACACAAAATGCTGCACTCAGGAAGCTTACATTACAGTGGGAAGAACAGACATTAACAAGTGTATACAGACTATTCAAACACGGCTAGGTAGTCAATGTATTAAGATGCCTTACTTTACCTCAATACTTGCTCTCTCATTAACCACTAGCAATCAGACATCAGCAATTCACCCCCACCAAGGAAGCAACAACAATCTTCAAGGCCATTAATGACCTCCTAGATGTCACAACTAAGAGCCTAAGAGACAAATCCCTCAGTTCTCCTTCTCCTGACCTCTCTGCGTCCATGACCTTACTAACACCTTCTCAAACACAGCTCTCCTGACTACAGGTTACTCTGCTGTCTTCCTCTTTCTTTGACCACTGGGCATTCCCTGAGGCTTGGCCAGCATTCTTTTTCCCATTACATAAAAAACCCACTTCCACAGGTTCAACTATTTTTATCCATACAGATGACTCTCAAATCCATATTTTTACAAAATTCATACTCTGTGATCTGTAGTGGCATATCCTAGAAGAGGCATAATTCACGACTGTCCCAGAAAAGAGATACCTGTCCCAGAGAAAGCCTCAATTTGTGCCAAAAAAAAAAAAAACAAAAAAAAAAAAAAAAAAAAAAAGGTCAATGTAAATAGTTCTGACTAAGTATAGCAGGCCAATCTTAGCGTAGGGATCTCAAACATCCAAGTGCAGAACAATTACCAAAAAGGCTTGTTGAAAATATAGATCCGTAGGTTCTAACTCAGTGAGTCTGCAGTACACTTGGTGTTCTGTACTTTAATGAGTATCCCAGATGATTCTGATAGCCGACATTCATGAGCCGCCCTTTGAGATACAGTCATAGATTTTTGGACACACAGGAAGCAGAGCAAGTGATTCAGAAGCAGCTGCAGAGTCCATGGCCATGTCTGGTGGGGCCCAGGAAGGAACGTGTATGCAGTAGAGTGTCTGGGAGAGGGAGACGGGAGACAGCAAAGGTGGTGTCCACATGCCAGGTGGGGATAACAAGAAGCACCCCCTGCCATGGAATACCAAGTTCAGCCTGGAAAGAAGGGAGTGGTGGGCTGGGGCAGAAGGGTCTGTCTGTCTCATGAGGTTTTAGCTTATTTGCAGACAGAATCTAGAAGTATAAGTAAAAAAAAGGACTGAAAAAAATGGAGGGTCCTTCCACAATGGGATGTATC